CGCTGCAAATTATTACACAATGGTTTATTATTTCCAAAGAATGATATATCTGAATTAACATTACCTTCCCGGTAACATAAAGAAAAATAAATAAAAGATGATTTTCACAATATTTGTCACTTCTTCTTCGGTGCATACTATTTATTTTCAAGTTTATTTATTATCAGCCAATTTTACACCAATTTTTAAATTTTGTCACTTTAATGACTACACATCACAATTACGACTTTTCGGCTCGACGAACTATTTTCAAGTCTAAAAAAAATGTTTCAATTTACAATCATATATTAACTTTACATATTTCAAAATATAAAGATTTTTTTTAAATACCTAAATACCCATCATGTACTTGTCCTTTTCACTTATGCGAATTGCATGCGTCTACTCATAATAAAATTTATTATTCTTGTCATGTCCACCTTTAATTATTTTATAACATTATTATTACTCACTTCTTTCTTATTAAATGATTCAAAAAAGTTAAAATTACCTTGTTCATGTGTCACCCGCAATGAGACGGATGACATATGGGTGAAAGGTAGGAAGGCAGGAAAAAGAGCAACAGCTTACTGATAGTGGTCACAGGTCACTCTATACGTGGGTGTTAATATGACAAAACCTGATATATGATCACATAAATTGATATCTGATGACGATACTATTGAACATGTTATCATACGCCATTGCTAAGAGTTTCTGCGATGCCTGCAACAGTCGGGGTAACTGTAGCCCATGTAAAATGATTTATAAACCTAAATACACTGACAGGCAAAAAATTCCACCCACATTTTCATGTTTTCATCTAAAAATATTTCTGCTTTGGATTGGTCTATTGTTTTTAATGAATAAATAGGTAATCTTTTTGTTTGTTTTCAATTAGGAATGTTAATATAGAGGACAATAACTCGTAATCCTTAATTCAATGAAATGATTCTAGATTCCAATGTTTACTTTCTATGGAATCCAAATATTTATTCAGTATCATTAGTTCAGTGCCGTTTCTCGCAGCAAATTTCTTAGTCTCCGACTTTTAATTTTTTCAATATTGAGTTTAAAAATGCCTCTTAGTGCTAAGGATGTTGCGCGTGGTGTGGACTATGGACGAATGGAGTGCTGTACTTTTTACAGATGAGTCAAGATTCGCTCTTCGATGTAATTTTTCCCAGAACCAACCTTTCCAACGTGGTTCCTTAATGTGTAACAAGAGGATGGAATTCTTTGCCTGTCAGTGTATTACAACACTAGATTTCTGCCAAAATCTTCGATGTATCGGCACACTCACAAAAATTATCTGATAAAATATTTTACTATCCTGGGATTCTATAAAGCCAGAAGTTTCCATCACGTTTCTTTATCATTTTAGAATGGTATTCTCCTTCCATTTTTTCGAAGTATGATTTTTTAATAACATTTTAACGTCTTGAAGTTTTTTTTTGTTGTTTTTTTTTTTAGTGGAGCGCTTAAGGTTATTTATATTTGAGTTGACCAGTTGAGGTCTGCAGTCAACCTCTTTGCTCCAGTATCAAAGTATTTAGATATTTAAGAGATATTATGTTTGATATTTACTTTTCAACAAATTCCATCCATTGTTTTGAATGCATAAATTTGATTTCTTAAATATGCCAATATTAAAAAAAAAAAAGCTTGTTCGATTTCGTAATATCCAGAGAAAAATGTGCGATTAGTGGAAAAGCGATGTTTTATCAACCTTAGCGGATTCCGTTCATTCTTCTACAAATGTGCAAGAATGTATTTTCTTTGGTATGCCTCCGATTTAAAAACCACTTGTTCGATTAGGGAGAAAGTTGAAAGAAAGTAAGAGACTGGTAAAAAAAAATTATAGTGGTCAAGTATGTAGCAATGTTATCTAAACCTAATTTTCTAGAGTTAGCTCCAGAAGCTCAAATAACAAGTTTCTTAAGACTAAGTATCTTCTAGTAGTGTCGTAATGTTTCGTGAAATAAAAACACCTTTCACTAAAAAAATTAAAAATGGTTAATGTACAACAACTCTGAACATTGTAATTATTATTGCTGGGACTCCTCTCAGAATAAATTGTGCTCAGTGGGTCCAGATACTCCTACTGTATGTTGATCTTACTCCAGGTTCAAGGGGTTCGACAGTGTCTCATGTCTCAGAGGTAACAGACATCCATGTTTTATGTATTGGCGGAGACAATCCGGTAAATCCATGTGTAAAACCACACAATATCTTTTTTTTTAGAATTTTTAAAGCATAACGTATTATTTTAAACTTAATAAATTTAGAGAAGAAAAACGCTTTAATGCTTTATCGAATAAAGTATTAAAAATCAAATACAAAGTATTTCATAAAATATTCGGCCCGAAGAATGTTTTCAGGTCTTATCTTGATTTTAGATTGAGATTTGGACATGTTTCGAGAGGGAAATAATCTATGTAGAGAACTATGTTTAGACGAATTATTGTAATTTTTCTTGGATTTTTTAAATGAAAATTTCTTTAGCGCTCAGCAGTTTATTTTGTGGTCATAGAATGAAACTGATCCGTCGCGCTCGACTATGTTACGTTTAAAGAGCTATGTATTCGGATAAAGCCGGCTGAAGTAGATTTATGCATTTATGCATTTGAATTTAAATTTCTCAGAAACTAAAATTCAGACCTTGCATACTGTAAGCAGAGAAAATATTCGGCATTTAATCCGATCTTATGGTGTAAATGTGGTCATATATTACTATAATTTCTTATAATTAATATATTCTTATTACTTCATATAACGTAAATAAACAAATAAAAAATCCTATCTATAAAAAGTTGTTATTAAAATTTGTATTTTGATGTGACACTCAGTTAGGGAGTTGTAGAAAAGTAAAAAGATAGCGCTAATCAACCAAATAACAACCACTGTTTTAAACATTTCGACAAAACTATCTCAAAATTTAAATACCATGGAGAATTTAGAAACCAATATAGATATGTAATTGTATATATTGATAATGTTATTACTTTGTGGATATAGAAAAAAAAATTATAATTCATATTATTAATCCCGCCTTGTTGATGTTTTTACTTTTATCGTATGATCTAAAGTACTCAGAAGTTTTTGTTTTGTTTTTTTAACAGGGAAACAACAGAAATCATTCTGAAAAATAATTATAATAGAGAAACATAGGTTTATTTCTGTCTAGGGGATTATATTCTCCAAAGAATATCAGTTTAAATGGGAAATGGTTCGTGCAAGAAGGGAGGCGCTCCGGGAAGCAGTGGTGGATAGGGATCCGGCTGATGAACGGTAGTTCCCAAACCGCTCTTGCTAGATAAGCTTTCTACGGAGTTAAATCTTTATCAGAGTTAAAACTCTTCCGACCCCTACTTGCGAAGAACCTGATAAAAACAATAAATTATTTAGACGTTATTATATAAATTCACAAAATATTTATGAGAGGTCAACAAGATTTTTTGAAAATCAGTGCTATAGTAAAAATCTGGTGTGTCCACTCACTCCTACTTATTTCAGAAAACTTTTTATATCTTTACATATGTCCATCAAGAAACAAAAATAAATTGAATTAAATTTATTTTCCCGGAAATTGATCAAAGAAAAGATTTGAATACTCTATTTGAATTACATTGCTTATTTGATAAACCAAAGCAATGTAATCCGGCTTAAGATAGGTCAGTGTAAAAATTTCAATACCCTCTAATATTACTGATCAAAAACTTTTTGCCTTAGCCTACTTCTGTCAAACAATAATTCCTGTTAAAAGTAGAGGAAATAGTTTGTGTGATCTTTTTTCTCTCATTCATGGGGCTCTGAAACCTGTAGATCCATCGAAAACCGCATATCGGAAATTTGACCCGATCGCAATACTTTCCTTATATAGTGTAGGTAGGAAAGTAAAAAAGAGGTAGGTCAAGTAACTGCGGACTATTTTTATTGTGTTTTGAATTCCAAGTATCTTGAAACAGCTAACTTTTGAGAAGGTTAAGATTTTTTTTCTTTCTCGAATTGTTTTGAGTTTTTTTAAAAGGAATAATGGATAATGAAAGAGTGCTTTTTTTTCTGCACTAAATGAAGCGTCTATGAATACAAAACAGCTCTTAAGTTAAAAATGATAAAAATGACACATTATTCTTATCGTCAGCAAAATAAGACCAATGTAACGGAAATAAGTCATTTCGGCAATTATCTAGTTAACTTGTTTCCTGATGATAAAGTATAGATATTCCGTTTCAATGAGGATTTTCTCTGGTTGAGAATTGCTTCTTTCTTGCCACTCCAACCCTTATGCCAGGGAATCCCGTAATATTTTTTTTCCTCCGCTTTCTCGCCTTTTACGCTATACGGGATTTTCCCGAGCCAGGGAGTGAGGGCGAGGGATTAATGCCAGAGTTAAATGCCCTTCCCCTCTCTCCCCTGACATAGAGACGCGAACTCTTTAATTAAATTTTCTTCCCTCCAGTTAAGAACACCAAAGATGGATCTTCCACCGGCGGACACAGCATCCGTCCATCACTACAGGAGTCCTCCCACTCTTCTGTTAGCACAGTTTTTTTCATTCAGAATCTTACGAGATACCTAGTAAGATCTGGTGTCATCCTTGAAATATGTCCGCCCCTCCGAGGACGACCAACCTTCAATATTATAACTCTTATAATATTGTGGTTCTTAATAATTACACATAATTCATAATAATTACCACAAACCATTAATAATTACAGAGCTCAATATTTTTCCCAAGATAAATGGTTCTAATCGAAGGAGAAGGTATTCTTGTGCTCTTTTTACCAACATAAATTGGTTGAGAATTTATGTATATTATATTAAAATATTTTCTATCGTTTAAAAGTTTGACTAAAAATTCATGGCTTAAAGGCTGCAACATTTAAAAGACAAGCTAAGTGATGAAACCTAGCAAATAATGTTCGAAGTTGATGACAGATGGGCCATCCATATCTAACATTTTTGTTATCCAAAATAGAAAATTATTATGAATACCATTCATACTATATTTCATTTAGGGATCATCGGGTGGTCAAGAACCGAAAAGAATTCTAACTGTGGTCAGATCTGGGGCAATACGATCTGACCTCAGTAACGTATGTACCCGGAGTCGTGCTGGAAGGCCGAAAAAGCGTGTAAATAGAGGGTACCAAATATTTAAATAAAGTTCTTGAAAATGCCTCACATATTTTCAGGTAAGTTACAATTAATTTAATTATCAAACTACTTAATTATTAAATAAATGGACAGGCTTATTAAAAAAAAAAATAACATAAAACTGTCTATATTTGTGCAGTTTATAATTTGCATAGATGCTAACAAGAATCTGTTTCGTTGCAATTAGGGCTGATTCCATGAACATATTTATAAGATATCACCAGTGAGCAGTGGATTAGGTGCAATTGTGTAGATTTTGAATTAAATTTTCAATTTTTTTCTTTGACTCTAATGGAGTGGACCAACTGATAAAGCCATACCAAAAGAGAAATGACCTTCGTTAAAATAAACGTATCTCGTAGTCCAGGTATACAAATATACAGAAAGGAAAAAAAATGTAGGTTTAAATTCGAAATCAACATAACTAGATATTATCCACATCCAGTGCCACAAATAAATATATATTCTATTTTAAGTTTTTTACTACCATCATCCCAGACCATCTCTTTTCTCTATATTATACTACGGTCAACCATTGAGTACTCAATATATATTATAGTTTTTATAAAGCTTAAGCTAAGCATTTGGTGTGGAAACATTCAGTCAGATAATAATCTTGTCTTCTTGGTACAATTTGGAAATTCGGTACCACAAATCTTCGGAGCCCATCCCTCCAAGGTCAATGGTCAATGAAACTTTCTTCCCTCCCCCTGCCAAGATATTATGTTGATCTCCTCTTCTCCAAAACAGTGCAAGTGAATGTCAACTTTAAAAAAATCTTAGATCACAATTACACTTGCTACGCTGTGTTCTTAATTTTCCCCTTGTCCCCAGGTTTGAAAATTTACATTTCGAAAATTCATAACCCAGTCGAAATATGGTCCCATCGATAATTCAAAAACATGTTAAAATACTTTTTCTTAAAAACTTTTGAAAGCGCAATTTGTGCGATGAAACTTCCTACAGCAACTAATAAAAAACAAAATGTATAAGATAATTAAAAATGGACGTTACTGTTCTAATTAGTTCAGAAAAATAAATAAATTTCTTCGGAACTATAAAATCTTTCTCTATTTTTCACTATAATAATTAATGATATGCGAATTTCTCACTTCAGAAATAGGTTAAGTGTGATGAATGGTAAATGATCCTAACCATGACTGTTTAGTGCGCCTGAATTTATTGTTCCCTGGCCTCATGAGCGCACTAGGTTTAATATTAATGACTATCCAAGTTACCAAAACTTCCTGTATTTTACGATTTGAAATAAAATACTGTGACAGCAGTGGTGAGGCTACGAGACCTTTCTCACGTACGCCACACAATTCTGTCACTTGTATTCATCAGTTGATTCATAAAGGACGTGATTTTCAAATTAAAAGGAAGTATTTAGCACTCTTGGTACTAGACAGTTGATGAAACGTCATTGGCTTACCCAGCAGGCTGCAAGAGGATCGGAAATCCACTCAACCAGAAGCAGTTTAAAAAATTGATAGTTATATCGATAGGTGGATCTACGGGGGAGGGGAGGGGAGAAGGAAGCTTTCTGATTGAAGCCTCCTCCCGCCAAAAAATGGTAACATAAAACAATATTTTATAAAAAAAAATATTTAAAAATAGTATTAATGAACATTATATTATGGACATTTAATTGGACCTGAAGAATCAATTAAACATCATTTCATATAGATATCATTTATTTGTATTTTTCAAAGTAATTATCATAATATATGTAAAAAAAAAGCTTTTGGGCAGAAGGTCCCCCTCCTCCCCAAAAAAAAAATTAAATCTGGAGCCGTTAGTTATTATATCTAAAGAAAGAGTAATAAGAACATGCATCATAACAAAGCAATCCTGAATGTTGTGAGCGAAATTATATGAAGAAAAATTCTGCCGTTTTAGACTAATCCAAATGTACAATTATAGTAATATATATCTGACATAGAATTATAATTTAAAAATAATCAATAGAATAAAAAAAAATGGTAAATATAAATAAGAGAATGCAGATCAATTTATATAAATATATAGGATGTTCACAAATGTTCATCAGTAAATAATAAAAATTAAATAATAGATAGACAACCGAAATGCACAGAAGATGAGGGCTTGGAGAAATAAATGGTGTTTAAATGAAGCTGAAGATGAGGTTTTATGAATGAAGTAGTAAAGTGTGATGGAATCCTAGAACAGGAGATGGACATGCATAATAAAGGACTTTGAGAACGAAGAAGTTCTATGAAGAATAAACCGGTTTGAGGACTGGGATCTGGTATTTAAATACTAGGCATAGCAGTACGGGGTGGATAAATTAAGAATGTAAAGAAGCATTTTGGTTCTTAAGGATTGGAAAGTATTAATCTCTAGGAAGCATTACGGTCGAAAAACAGAATAAAGGAACATTAACTTATTACACCAAATAGAGAGGTGGGAGTGACTGGGGCCTCTGAAGTGAAATCTAATAAAATGACTGATTAATATCTGAAATCGTATCTTTTACCTACCAGTCAATCCACTATGGGCTAAATCAAGATGTAGCATAGAATCATCAACCCTCGGAGGCTGTTTAATTAGTAACGCATTTTCGGGTTATTTCGAAAATATGATAATACCAGGATATGTGTCGGATCAGTGCGCAGTCTATTTTCTCACATTTATACCCATGAAAGATAAATATTTTTCCAACTTGTAATTTATCTAACAGCAAGTGGAACTGAAGCTAGAAATAATTATTTCTAATAGAACAAGCATGAAAATGAATGAATCACAAACTAGAAAGGAGATAGAAATAAAACTTTTCAAAAGTATTATGTGTTCTTTACATTTTTGTTCCTAATTAGTGGCCCCTTAGTCATCTCACACACACGACGGCCCTATATCGAACATGCATAGGTAAATAAATCGAAAATGAATAGTAATGAGATTGAACTAGCTTACTAGAATTAAGATGGTGCATGGATCAAATTACCATTAATTATAATAGGAGAAGAATGAAGTTCATTCGGAATTATAACTGTTTGGGAACGATGTGATAAGGCGTCAAATTTTATCAGGTCCATAGTCTTTTTTTTCTCACATTTACGAGTTATATTTATGGTACCTAGATATACTCTTGCACTTACATTCACGAACTATAAGTCTCTTTCCAGCTTGTTGTGATTTATCAAACAACAGAAAGTGGAACCGAGATTAAAAATAACCAATCGAAAGTAACCACTTTAAAATTTGAGATTTTGGAGTTCGGAAAGAAGAATATCATGATTTACTGAATCAAAAGCTGAAGCATGAGAAATGAAAGAAAACAAGGATAGTGACTCCGGTCAAGAGGATTTCCACTTAGTAGTGTATTAAAGTTTACTTCATACATATATATTTTATTCATTGGTATCAGAAGTATACAGATTTCGATTGGTGCGAGAAGAAGAAATTCAGGATGGCCGCCGCCAAGACTCAGTCCATCCTCTTGAAAGGCACGACTGATAGGGCTCACCCTATAACAATGGTTATACAAGTATCAAGAATACGTCCAAGTGAGGTTGTCACCTATCTTGAGATTAGGATTGGAAGAAAGTTCAACGTGACATCTCACTTGAGAAGTAGGGTAGCCCTAACCCTTAACGGACTCAGTCGTATTGGGGGCGCATTTTGGGGCCTCAGGTACCCAGCAACTATGACCATTTATAAAGGTGTTATTGTGAGTATCCTGAGGTATGCGTCCCCTGCCTGGAGCCAAAATCTCTCGCACTGACAGAAATGTAGGTTGGCCACGATTCAGCGAATTGCTCTGCTTCGAGTCTCCAGATCATTCAGGACGGTGTCTCATGAGGCTGTGCAGGTCTTGGCAGGAGGAATACCTCTCGACCTCCTGCTGAGAGAAGACTACTACCGGTACAAGATTAGGAGAGAATGCTTAGCGGCTCTACCGGATTACCTCCGAGTGAGAATAGGAGATGATCCAAGAAACTGGAAGAAGATCCTCCGGGAGGATACAGTAGAGGACTGGAACCGACGGGGGTTGACGACTCCCAAAGGAGCTACTCTAAGGAAGTACTTCCCCACCATTAGTTCGCGACTAGAAGCGACTTGGGTCCTCCCGGACTACTGGATCTCACAGATTCTCACGGGGCATGGGGGTTTCCGAGAAAAGCTCGTTCAGTATGGTATAAATATCGATCCCCTATGCCCAAGTTGTGGGGTACCGGAGACCGCTGAACATGTTGTACTTACCTGTACGGTCTATGAGTCACTGAGGGCGAAACTGTTGAGAGAAACAGGTCTCTTTGTCCTAACAGATTGTGATCTTCCTCGTCAGTGTGAAAGGAGACCAAATAAGCCATACTGCTATGACAATTTCCCCATTATGCAAATTGGAAGGCGATCTGTGGTCCTGTGGTTCAGACAAATAGAATCATAGTTCCACTTACCGAAAATCACTAATAAAGAAACAGTTTTTAACTATTCATCGTCAGCTCTGGACAGCGCGACCTTAAGTTCAATTTGCATTTATCCATAAAATTCGATCATTTAACATCATGTTTATAATAAAAATAACAACAGTAACTGGAGTTGGTTACAAATTATAATTTATACACAGTGCCGTTAGGGCAGACAACCGGAATAATTGTTGGGGGGCACCCGTCACTTAATCGGAATTAAAAAAAAAATACCAAACAATTGAGAACTTAAAAAATAGCCTCTTAATAAATCAACTCAATTAGAGACATTTTGAATGAATTAGAAATTTAAATATAACTTAATAAATATAAAACAGCTTAAGAAATAAATTTAAATTTTAGAGGAGAGGGAGGTATATGACGTAATTTGTCCTGGGGCGCTAAATGTCTAAGAACCGGTACTGAAACAATTATCTAACTTGACTAACAGCGACATTATTGTTAAACCAAACTGTTTATTTTACTCCTCTTGAAGCCGGCAGCTGATGTAAAATATCAAACACAAGAAACAAAAATACTAGCATAGGGAAATAACCATTTAGATATTTGTTTGTCCCATATTTTATGAAATGTCTTAACGCCACTTTATAGTATACTTTAATGCAGGCAACAAAAATCATTTATCACAATAAGAATCTGTCTCATCGGACCTTTTTAGAATTAAATGTTTATAGATAATTAGTAGAAATAAAATCATTCTTACCTACATGTCAATATTGAAATATTTTTCTATTTATAATCAATCTGTTAATTCCAGAAAGGCTGATAGAACATCCGTGAACCAATGGTTTCTTCATTGTGCATAGACGTCCTAAGTTACCTCCTGTGAGCTTTCTTAATAAAATTTGTATTCATTAATCATGAATTTTATTAGCAAAACTATGTTAAGAACTGAATCCGTGCGCCAGAGGTGCCACTACCAAAGCAATGTTACCAAAATAATTAAAACATAATAACAAGTATTGAGCGAATTAGATTTAGTATCATTCAATATTATGAATATGAAGCAAGATAAATAGAAAAAAAACTGAGTCATACATTTGACTCATTCTATGAGAATTAAAACACTTGTTTTCTTTGTTTTGTTTCAAAACCGCTAGGTTGATGACAATCACAATATTAAACTAAAAAAACCTGTGTTAGTTTAGTAATGACTAAAATTATTTTAGCTGTAAGGTTAAAAAGCGTAAAATCAATAGATTTATTATAAAACTGTGGGTATTTAATAATATTTCTTTGTTTTTTACAGGTACAATATCGATTGTAGGTTCCTAACGAGTATAGGTTCGATTTGCAATGTTATGCTCTCAGCTGTTTTTTGTTTATATGTAACAATGGAGTGAGTGATAGAGAGTATTTTAAAATCATGCATGACAGTTTATCCTGGTTTACTTTTTAATTGTTTTAGTTTCTTTTTTGTTTATTTTTATTTAATTTTTAACCATGAGTGCTGTCCCAAGAATGATTATCCATGTTTTTGATGGATTTTGCTTAACAGTTATTTTAATTGCTCAAGAAACTATTATAAATTATTATATTATTATGAGATATAAAGAATCCGTGTTTCCATATTTCTTTTTTGCTCTCGACTTTTTGTGCGTTTGTAGCTTTGTCGGAACTTTATTTGTCGCTTTTAATAAATTTAAAAACATCCTTCGACAAGATAATGTTGATGGTTTCAATTTGCATTCAGCAAGAGGCACTATAATGCCTCTTCAGCTAGGAGACAGCCCCCTTATTTACTTGTCATGGTTATTTTATGCTTTAATTTTTGTTGTAAAAATTATATTGATTTTCAATGATGACTCATTTATTCATGGTTTAAGTGTCACAGATCATTTTGGGCCCCAGCTTTTAAAGGTTACGTAGTTTTATATATAGCTTACGCAATATTTTCATTGAATTTCAAATAATGACTGTTTGAATTGCAGGTAGCTTTATGCTCTAGTAGTTTTTTGTTTCTTCTACTTGTGGAAGGTCATAACTGGAGGAAACGAGGAACACCTCGATATTCTTATATTACTTCAGTATGTGCTAAGACAGGAATTGAAATTTTTGACTCTGTATCAATGCTTGCGATTCTGATGGAAAGTACATCCGACTTGTCTCCAACAGTCAAGGATTTAATCCTCGCTCTATCTGCATTAAATTTTGTGCTACCAACAATCAAGTTATATCAACTAAGGTTAGCCTGTTGTTTTATTTTTTATTGTTAATATTCTCTCTTATTTATTTCATGATTAATTCAACTATATATTGAATATTAATAATAATTCTTTGATTAATCAGAAGAATTACCTAAGAACCTTTTATTTAATACTTGTTAAAGTATCATTGAGATACTTTTAATTTCTGTAAATATCTATGAAATATTATAGATATTTACAGAAAAGTACGTTGTCACTTGTAACTAGTTTATTGTAGACTTCATGGTTCTTGATTTTGTAAATTGGATACGACGTATGTAAATTCTATCTAGAACTATAATTAGTCTCAATTTTGATCTAAATCAAGATTCATATGACACTTTAACACACCCAATACATATAGATTCACATGATTATTAAATTATTGATTTCTTAATGTGTAATACATATAATATGTGTTAATGTGTATATATTCAGGGTGTCCTGCAAGTTGATAGAAATATTGACAGGGGTGGTAGTAGACCTTAAAATCTATGTAAGAGCTTAAATAAGAAATGGTCCGATTTTCTGCAGAAATGTTGCAAATTAAAGTTGGATCAGGTCATATTTTTTTGTTGAAAAGGAAGTGAAAAATAAAAAAGTATTTAATTTAAGTAATCAAAAATTGCTCCATAGTTAACTAGACAAAATTTACTTTAAAGGAATGTAGTTTGTAATGTTAAGACGATTTGAAGAGGACTTTTGACGGAGTACTGTTTTAAAAACAATCATAAATTATTTGCGATTTTTTTATCACACTTTTAGAAAAACTTCCTTATTTAATTACCCGTGAGTTCATATTAAGTTAAGGTTTATTACGAAATAAGTTGAGACTCTCCTCAATTAATGTAAAAAAAATTATATGATTTGATATCCTGTCGCCCAAAAGTTCCAGTGTTTTATCAAAAATCGCTGCAATTAATTATCAGAAATTTTTCCATGACCTGGGATGTATTATTATTTCTCTAATATATAAAACCATTTTTAGTGACTGTCATATTTTATTTTACATATACAACAAAGTGGGACAGACCATAACGAAGACACCACCCTGCTTATTCCCAACAAATTTAACACACTAATCTAGGGGTTTCCATTTATAGTGTGATCATGAGATCTTGTGCCATCTATCGAAGTGGAACATTTGCTTAGTAGTACCTGATAAACAAATGACCGAGGGCTTCTTTTTACTTGAGCGATTTTTATTATGGGATTAAGTTTTCTCCAGACTAAGTTATTCAAAGGATCCAAATCTGATTGTATATTTTTGATATGGCTGTGATAATGTTTGGTACCTTTCCTCATCATTCATAAGAGATGATTTTCTTGAAATAATTGTTATATAACTGTTAACATATCTCACTCTTTGTTTTGAACATGAAATTGTTTTTAACATGAAATGTTGTTCCACCTCATCACCCATTATCCTTTTGTGGCTAATAATTTTTTTTTTTACAATCTTTTATTTGTTTAACAACAATGAATGTTAGGCTAGTTTACTTGTTCTTTCAGCATGTAGCACTTGTTAACCAAAAGGTGCATTGACATTAAGTGGCAGAACTTTTTTTAAGCTGCTAGTTCTCATTTATGAAACACTGGGATAAACAAACTGCTTTAAGCAACTGAATATGATCTGGTAAAAAGGCAAATTTCTCAACTTAGTACTGAGTTCATCAATGGCATCAGAAATCTATCAAACCATTCATTCCTAAACTCGTTGATGAAAATTATCGATGAAATTTAGTGCATCTCTTTATTCATCCATTAAATCACTGATGTCTTAGGGCTTCTATTCGCTGTTGGGATTAATAGATTCGCTGGAAACAATCTCATTATAACCTCAGGGTTTTTATTTCTCAATTCACTTTACATATTTATATTCAGTTTACTTTATTTCTATTTTTAAATTCAAGAAATAAATATTTAAAAAATAATTATGGCTGATTGGTATTTTAAAACCAAATCTCTATCCTATTTACTTATAATAATAGTAATTTTAATTTTATATTTATATATATAAACATCAATTGGTGGTGTCGGCATCAAATCTTCAGGTTCGCTATATCTTTTATTATTATTATTATATATATATAATACATCTATTTGATTAAGATAGGGGTCTCCAAACTACAGCGCCTGCGCAAGTACCTTCAATCCACCCTGTGAAAGTTTCTTTGATTACATGATAAAATTTTAACCCTCGGCCCGAAACATCCTTCAGTACTTTCTTATACAGACACCAGTCATAATGACCGCTCTTTAAAAAAAAAAATTGATGTTTTCATCTTTAGCACAATTTTATTCACTAATTTTTATTCACTTATTTATTTTTATTCACTCGTCCTTATTATTTTTATTCACTCATCCTTATTATTTTTATTCACTCATCCTTATTATTTTTATTCACTCATCCTTAATTGAATGGAATAAATCAGAACTCATATCAATAAATCATTTATTTTTTATCATTGGTGTTACTAAAACATTATGAAATATAAAAAAAAGGGTTTTTCAAACAAAATATTTGACAGCAAAATCACAGTTCATTTATTTTAAGAATGAACATTTTTGCATAACAACAATAGTACATATCATATCTGCTGAAACTTAAGAAGGAGCAATTTCTTACAATTTGAAATGAACTCTTTGAATATGTCTAAAATGCAAACGCTGTCAACTAAGTAAATTATAGGTCCAGGCTTGTCCTCAATTTCATCATTTTTAATTCTGAGACGATGACATTGATGCCTGCTGAACGATATTCCTTCTTCATCACTCGAGTCTTGGGGAGGAGTTGGTGAAGCTGATCTGAAAGTTTTTTGTTTAGAAATCAAAGGAGCAATAAAGTAGAAGTACTAACAAACTCAATTAAAAATAGCCCAGATGGAAGACAGTAATTTTGACCGCTATGAAAATTTTGGCGCAAGCAGACTTGTCAGAGTCAGAGTGACTGCCATAGTTAGAATAAAACGTGACTCACTGAAAAACTGCTATCGATAACTCCTCTCTGATGTTATGCGGTATCTTGCAATACCAAGACTGCTGGGGTATTTATGGTCAGAAGATTAAAAATATGAAATTTAGTTAATCACAAGGTTACTACTACATTTTTTGCATAAATTGTTTTTCTTATTAAGCTCATTTCACAACTGATGTGTCATTTATTAAACAAGTATTTTTTCATCTTAAGTCATGGCTCGCAAAACTTTTTCGATGTCTCAATGTGGCCTGCGGGCCAACAAGTTTGGAGACCTCTCAAGAACTTTAAAATATTAGTAATAAATTTGACTTTACTTTTTTTTTTTCAGTTACAACGATTTCTCTAAAAATAATTATTCATTTCCCATAACTGTCATCTACATGTTCCTGCACATGCTGCTCATAGATGTCCCTTATCTTGCTGTACGTCTTTATTTATGGCTTGTTTACCATGAAAATGCTTCCATGTTTCTTATGAAAAATGCTTTAAGCATTGTTTTGGGCCTGCGTGGAATGTTTCCAGATCTGATAGAGTTTAGGAATAGCTATATATCTTCACATAAAAAGACAAAAAAGGTGATGTCAGAATCTGAAGCAAAATTCGAAGAGATCTCTCTTAGGGACCAGGTTATTAAACCTGAAAGTGTCTAAAAATTATGTTAATTGACACCACTGATTTCTATGACTTATTTTTTTAAGTGTACAGTATTTATATAGATCTAATATTAATAAGATGGATGAAACATCAATGAAACGAGTTAAATAAAATTAAGTAATTTATTGTTTTACAAGGAAATATAATATATAATACAATAATTTATACCAAAATAAATTGATGACAAATAAAATATTTTTTATTAAACATGACATTATATTGTAATAAATAAACTATAAATTAGAGATTTTATTGTATTTGATACAATGTACTACTATCATATTCTTTAATTTTAATATCACAGTGAAAATAAGTAAAACAATGTTCCTCAAAGTAATAAAACTAATTAAGTGCCTTATTGTAATGACTTAAAAATATCAAGTTGAATTGAGTATATATAAGCCTCAATTAATTTAAAACAGCATATTTTTTACTTAAACATTTCTTTCTTTGGTTTGATCTGATTAAAATTTATATGAATTTACCGATACTGTGGTTATCAGATTGAAGACTGACCATTAATGAATAGTTTTTAATGATCTATTATATTTTAAAATCTGAAGGAATAAAGTGGTATAAGAGGATGAGATTAAGATCACACTAAGACTGAAACAAGAAAAAAGAAAACTATTACAGTTATCCTTCAATTGTTTTCATCATTTAGAAGTTTAGAGTGTATGGTGTTGTCATTTTATATTTTGCACTAATTGTATATGTATTTAATATCTATGAATAAGTGGCTTAATTGCAATACAGAAAACAAATGATTTAGTTCTGTCCAATCCATCCAGTGGATTGTTGTAGTTGATCATGTATAAATGGCTAATTCAAAAAAAATTTATTTTATATTTACCTGCCCTTGCCTGTCAGGCTTTGGGAGTGGCTAACTAAGTTAGTACTATGTGATTGTTACCTTTACCAACAAAGTTTTATTTATTTTTTTAATTGTTGTCAATCAACATATGTGTAGAATCAATTAAAAAACTACTCTCCGAATGTTTAATATATTTAGCAAAACCATTTGTTGATTTATGTTATAGATACAGTCACAATTGTGCCTAGCAAAATAAATATATTATGTAATTAAGTCTTATTTACAATGTTTGATTTCAGCTTGATCACTTCAATGTTGTACTTAAGTGTTGGTCATAATGGTTTTGTGTATCCTTAATTTTAGTTTAATTACTATGCTCAACACTTTGATCACAATGATCTTTTATTAATTAGTACTTGTGACCACTGAGATCTATTATAATATCTAATGTAGCTTTTAATGCTTATCACAACAATTTTGCTCAAATAAGATATTTTTAACTTGTAAACATTATTTTCTTTCTATATATTTTGTATAAATAACTTATTAAATAAATATCTTTTTTACTTTATCTTCTTCATCGTTCATGCCTTTTTTCCATTTGAAATGCATAATTATCATAATTTATCTTTTCAAGTTTACAGTCACTGCTATTGGCCAAAATATCTGAAACAGCGAAATAGAAATTTAAAAAATAATTATAGTTTTATAAAATGGTTTACATTAGTTAATAATTTAACTAAAAATATTTCAACAAAAATGAAGTGTAGAGGTTCTCGTTTTATTAATCTTCTGTCCCATTCATATTCTGCTCTGGAAAATACAACCTTTTTCACTTTTAAGGATGATATATAGGAGACAACTTTACATTCCATTCTAGGAAAAAGTAAAAAAATATAAATGTTAAGAAATTAATATAAATCCTACTTTTTTCCTATTTGTTTTTTATGTTGTTTTTTTTTTCAATTCTTTACTCACTGAAGAAACTAAGATTTAGATCAAATTTCACAAGAAGTCATCAGTATCAATCATCTTTCAGATCATAAACAGAATTAAAGATCATGATTAAATATTTGAATCAGTACATTGCCATTTTCAAACAAATGAATATATATCTCAGAGCAAGACTGACTAAATTCCAAAATCAAGATTTTTTTCTTAGAAAAAATAATATTTCGAAGAGATTAATCCATTCTTCTCTGGGAATGAGGTGATCAGGAAAAACAATAGTAAAAATTAATAATTATATTTATTTTTATTTTTGCCGACGTTTCGGCCCGAAGTTCAGCCCTTCAGCAGGGCTGGTCAAACGAAGAATATGCAAGAACCGTGTTGGCAAAAATAAAAATTAATATAATTATTTATTATACTGATCACCTCAATCATTCTTCTCTTCATTTTTTTACTTACATCAATCCACAATTAAAAGTAATATTTCCTTTATTATCACATGTTTGTACCATTAGTTTTGTGATATTATTAATATTTAATGATCTTTTTTTAAATTTATAAAAGTCATAAGTCCGATACTGTTTTTGTAAACCTAACATAATGTTTGTAAGTGTAGTAAAAATTTGTTTTAGGAGTTACTACTCTAGAATCTATCTATAGGACTTGTGTACTCAGAAAACTGATAGTTAATAGGATTAACTCCGTTCTCTTCCCAATTTTTAACAATATATAAACCTCAATTTATTGGTATAATTTAAGTGCATAATAAAAAAAAAAAAATATCATTTAAGGTGTCACATCAACAAGATCATTTAAGAATAGCCCTCTAACATTTCCACTCTGACAAAAAAATGATCTCCTTTTATTAATATAAAGAAAAATGCCTAAAATGCAATATTCCTTATTTCAGAAGCTCCATAGCTAATAATTAGACAAATTGATTTAGGAATTGTGCATTATAAAACATCATTTGATGATCACCAATTAATGCAGTTTCTTTTTTTAATATTACCTCCTTCAACCCATGATGAAGATGTTCTTTCCCAGGCAGAAGATGGGTATGCATTCTCCCCATGTTTTGAAAGGTCCAGACCTGCATATAATAAAAAAATTCTGTATTAAGAAGTTTCATTGAAATTTATTTTCCAGCGATTGAATTTTTTTCTAATCTACAAATAAACGAAACTGATCCTTAAAAATATCTAATAGTCTTAATAATTTCTTACACAGAATTTTATTCAGTTCATTTTAAGTAATAAAATATCAAGAATAGTTGTTGACTAATTATGATAACAATACATATTTACTAGTACAGTACTCAGAGTAGAGTACATTATATTTTGAAATTTGAAATACTTCTGAAAACTCACATTATAGTTTTTGTTAATACTGTGTCAATCAGGTGTTAATATTTTTATATTTTAGGCTTTACATTGTTTTTTTAACATTGAAATGTTCAGGGGATAAATGAATAATAATGAATTATTATCTAACATTTGACTACAGAAAATAAAATCAATGAGAAAGACATTAATAAATATATAATTGGTAATTGGTTGACTGTCGTGGATAATGAAGAGAAGAATAGTTGGGGTGCTCAGTCAAAAAAGGAAGGCAAAAAATAAATTATAATATTTATTTTTTACATATGCCGACGTTTCGACCTGAAGTTCAGGTCTTCATCAGGGCTAAGAAAATAACCAGATAACAAGGTATGAGAAACATAAGTAATGATGGTAAAAAAGATAATAAAAAATGAGAAAATAAAATAGATTAGATCTAGATAAAATAGATCTAAATAAAATATTAGAAAAATAAAATAGATAGATATAAAGTAAAATGAAATTGTTAGAATAATGACTAAGAACTAAGAGATAAATAATACAGACTGTTACATAGTGTGGAATGATGAAGTAGGCATAATCAAAAAGGGGGTGACAAAAGTGTTACATTGGAAATCTTAGAATAAAATGTAAAAACATAAAAAAGAAATATAAAGTTATATAAGAAATGAAAATAAAATAAATAGTAAAATTAAAAACATTGAGAATGGAGTAGTTAGATAGAAAATTGAGATATTGTAAAGTCTATCAAGATGTACAGACAAAGTATGATATAATAGAGAGTTAACAACAGAGAAAAGGAATGAAAGGAAGAAATTAATTAAAATTATTTCAGCTTTCTCAATTTCTCATTTTATTCTAAGATTCCCAATGTAACAATTTTGTCACCCCCTTTTTGATTATACCTACTTCATCATTCCACACTATGTAACAGTCTGTATTATTTATCTCTTAGTTCTTAGTCATTATTCTAACAATTTCATTTTACTTTATATCTATCTATTTTATTTTTCTAATATTTTATCTAGATCTAATCTATTTTATTTTCTCATTTTTTATTATCTTTTTTACCATCATTACTTATGTTTCTCATACCTTGTTATCTGGTTATTTTCTTAGCCCTGATGAAGGCCTGAACTTCAGGTCGAAACGTCGGCATATGTAAAAAATAAATATTATAATTTATTTTTTGCCTTCCTTTTTTGACTGAGCACCCCAACTATTCTTCTCTTCATTAATAAATATAGAGAAAAAAAACCTGTACCACTACAACCCATGAAAGATCTTCGGTTCAGTACTGTTTCTTAGCCAACAGTTGTGGAAGGAGGTGATTTGACTGAGATCACACTCAACCGCCAGATTTTCCCCCTTAATTAATTATTTAATTTAAGGTACCCACCCACTTTATAGAGGCTAGGTGTGCCCCAAGAGGATCTCCTGACCCCAGGGTCGCCCTGCGGCCAATGAAATAGAACAAATAATTTCTCTGCCATGAGCCGGGATTCGAATCTGGGACCTTGAGCATTGGAAGATCAGTGCCTTACCACTGAGCTACCCTGCTCCCTAAGATAGAGAATGACTTATGGAATAGCAATAAAATAATATATAGAATTAAAATGTAAATATTTTGATATTTCAATAATCAGTCTTCCGACCTAGATTGCTGCTCTTCATCAGATCTGATAAGTAATCTGATTAAAGAAAAATAAAAGACTTCTCTCGATTACTGTTATAATAAATGTACTTTATTAAGAAAAATATTTAAGTCATAAGATGGTAACTGTGCTGTGTACGTCATAAGCAGTATTGCTTATCAAAAATGAAACATTTTTCTCTTATTTTATTTATTAACTTTGATGTTATTGTTTATGTTTAGCTACAAAACAAAAGTCATACATTTTTTTTTAAACAAAAAATTATGTACCTATGATTTCCTCTTCCTCAGATATTCTTAAAAATCCAGTTACTTTAAGAGCACCAAAAAGGATTATGCTGGTTATAGCAGACCATGCTATAATTGCCAATAATCCGATAATGTTGTTGCTAATTTTCTGAAAAACGATGATGATTAGAGAAGTGTTATATTAAGATTTATTATTAAAAAAAACATATATAGAATCTACAGGTATTATTTTATTGTGTTATCATGATGTTTGCTTAAACATGGAAATTTATGAACTTACTGTTGGAAAGTTATCAATATTTCCATAAATCAGTCCATCATTAGCGAAAATAGGTCTTGCTATTACTCCCCACGCTCCTGCACCGAAATGTAAGGGGCTGGCATCAAGCGGATCATCAACTAAACATCACAAACATTATTTTACTCATTGAACAAGTACATACTGTTTTACTATTGTATGCTGTATTAATAATAGTTGATTACACACCTTTTATATAAGTAACAAGAAGATGAAAGCCAGTATAAATGACAGAGCCAATAGCACCGACTAGCATAGCTGACCAACTGTTGTAAACTTCAGGACCTCCACATACACTAACCTAAATTTTTACTCCAATCAATAAAATATAGTTACTTGAGAATAAATTATTTTTATTCTTATTAAAAAGAATAAATCCAATAATAATATAACACTCAAATGTAAAAAATATTTTTGATTTCTAAATAAATATAATGAACTTGTTTTTATATTAATTTCATATTATAAGAACATTTAGAAAAATGATTGAATAAATGTTGATTTAGATTTTCATATTGATGACAATTAATTATTTCATAAATTCATTTTGATTACTGCTTAAATGACATTTATAGCATGTCACAAAAAAAAAAATTTGCCATTTTTTTCTGTTTTCCCAGTTTCATTCCTCATTTGTTCGTTTAGGTCCTCTGAACATGTTTTACTTTTTCTGCCCAGTCTCCAATGAAAATTCCTCTTCATCCAACACCCCAAGTCAAAGTTATGAGTTAGAGAATTTTTGACTGGAAAGTTTTTGTGAGTGGGTCTTTTTGGTTATACTATTTATCTGTGAGGGGTGTGTCCATATTACAATTTTGGAGATTTGTAAAAAAAATGTGTAAAGTAGTTTGAGACTACTAAAATGGTCTTCCTTTTCATTTTCTGAACTTGCGAGTGCCATGTCATCCTTTTCTCAAAGATAAGTCCCAGAAAGTATACTGTGTGTTAATCTGAGGAATTAATTTGATGTCAGTCTAGCCAGGATGGCAGGTATTTATCAGAAGTATAATGCTATGTGTATTGATTTAGTATAATTTAATCACATTTTTCATAGTTTAAACCAGTTGCATATTGTAAAGTTATTTAGGCCTGTATCTTGATTTTATGTGAGATCTACTGTATAAGCGTATCAGCGTAAATAGCAGTCAAGACCTCTTTATTAACAAGTATGTCATAAGTAAATACAATATATATTAACACAGGTATACCAACAGATTAAGAAGAAATACAGCTGACATACAGCTTCCTATTCATCTATTTTTTGTAAAGCCAGGTTGTGAATTTTAATTTTAAGTCAAATTCCTTTAAAATTTGATTTGATAATCATATGATACCTGATTTGATTCTTACCATGCCTGCTAGTGTACAGTTTAATGTGAAGGAAAATGGCCATGGTGCATCACTTAGATATCGTCCAAAAACTAGTGCTATGATAGCAGCTCCAGTACCACCAAAGATAGTGCTCACCATACTCCTTGCTACAAGTTCACTATCACCAGGTCCAGAAATTTGTCCCAATGAGCCGCCATTGAAAGCCAGGAATCCAGAAATTAATAGAAGAGCACCTAATCCAAGCATCTAGAATAATACATACATTATGTATAGTAGATACCTCTACCATAGTTTAAAGAATTATATCAAAGTGTAATGCTATATTTAGTTGATAAAATAAAAATAGTATATTATGTTTTATAGCATTTGTTCCTTATATATTTTAAAGATCTCAGGGAAAACAAATAATAATATTTTCAATTAATTTAAATCACTTTTATTTCTGAATTTCATTCTTCTAAGTACACTCTCACTAATTTGACTCATCTGAAAAGAATAAATTTATACTTTTTTTTTTTAATTTACATTATTTGTATCATAGAAGTTATTTGATGAATGGCGAGGTATTCAAATTGTCTCCTGATATCATCAAAATTCTCTTAAATTTAATGCTATTGGTGATAGAAGAATTATAAATTCAATTATGATATCCCTCCCCTGTTATTAATAATAAGCCTTAAACTGTACTTGTTCCTGCACCTGTTTTAAAAGGCCTTTTAAAAATATCAAATTAAATAAAATATATTAGTGATGAATAAATAATGAGTTTATTATTATATTTAATGCTTCAGATGCATTAGTACAAGTTGAGGAAATTTAAAAGAACTTACAGGTGTTGAATGACCAGAAATCGGTTGTCCAGGAAATCTTCCTTTGCGTGGTCCTAAGAATGCAGCTGCCACAAAGGAAGCTATGCCAGCTAATGCATGGACAACTCCACTTCCAGCGAAGTCTTTGTAGCCCATATTTTTCATCCATCCTTCTTCATGCCAAGCCCAGTGGCTTACAACAGGGTAAACAAAACCTTAGGACATAAAATTAGAAAAATAATTTTCTTTAATATAGCTATAATAGTGTAAAAATATATATACAAAAAATTACATCAACTATTGATATTAAACAATCATAGAAAAACAGATTTGATATCAGATATTTTACTTGACATTTTTAATTTGCTATAGATTCTATTAAATAAGCCTATCTAAATTGATATTTAAAGCACTATTTAATTGAAAATTATTGAATACTCATTATTATCAAAATACTAATAAATCAAATTAGCTAATTAACGTAGTGAAATGACTATGCCTCCTGGCATCTCAGAAACCCAGCAAATATGGCCATTTATAATGGTATGTGACATCTTTCTGAAACTGGAATATCAGCTCTGACAAAAGGGAGACAGATTCGTACAACAGAGAAGGATGAGCAGGTCTGCCAGTAAATCTTCAGGTAAGAATTGGCCAGGGCCCGGTCAAATAGAAAAATATTAATCAGGAAGACTAGTGGAACCAACAATGAGTGACATGCATTAAAGGGCACAAGTAAGTACTTCCTTATTGTCTTGTCATGATTGGAGGAAAAATTGGTTCAGATTATTGGGTCTCATGATTATTTAAAGAGCATGGGAACTTTTGATCTAAGCTCTTCCCAACATCTTGGGAAGGAGGTTGAGTAGCATTGCTTAGCTGTTCCATCGTGAAGAGTACATAATACCTTATCACATCATTTGTTCACTGTGTTTAGGGCTAAATTGCTGGGAGTAAACAGAATTTATATTCTCCTATACAACTTAGTCACTAAAAAAAATTGTACAAATAGTTTTGGAGAAAATCTGTGTATGGCAGGAAGCCCAATCCAACCTCATAAGCAATTCAGATCTGACTTACTTATACTTTTGGATCAGGAAAGGCCTGATGTGTACAGTTTATTTTATTTCATCACAAAATATTTTTATATCCTGACATTAATACTGCTATTACCTACCAGAAATTATTCCACTGTAGACGATGTATGCAACAAAGTTACACCTTTCAGCCACTGCGCCTGATAAAATAGTGGCAGCTGTTGCTGCAAATACAAATTGGAAGAACCAGAATGCAAGGCTTGATTCTTGAAAACCTGTTCCAGCCCAATATGTCATCCCAATGAAGGAATTTCCATTACCATAGGCTAGTGGAAAACCAATTAGGTAGTAGAAAATACTGCAAATAACTGAAACAGAAACAATTCTTTATTGATTCATTAAGTAACAATAAACTTTTAAATATGTTTAAGTAGCAAGATAGAAATTTAAAATATATAAATAGTCATATAAAAAGTTTGAATCTGAACCTGGGAAACAAAAACAGGGGTGATTTCTAGATAGTAGCAGAGGGCTTTCTCTGCATATAGTCATATAAAAAGTTTGCATCTGAACCTGGGAAACAAAAACAGGGGTGATTTCTAGATAGTAGCAGAGGGTTTTCTCTGCCTTTGCAATGCTAAACTAGGTCCATCTCCCCTTCCTGGCACAGTTGGAGGAGAAGGAAAAAAAAATGGTTTGCCTATCACTAGGATATGGAAGATGAAGAGAGCGGTGGACTAACTTTAGTGTACATACCAACAATCGGGAAATATTGGAAATATGAAGTATTTAGGAGAGGTTTTGGTCAAGCATAATCCACAATAAGTTTTCAACAGAGGAACTAAATGTAGTAGGATGATCATTTGGGACTAAAGTAAGAAAGTTTAAAACCAGAGATGTCCATTCTCATCTACCAAGGTTGATGGTGCATCATGATCCTATCTAGGTCTTCCTGAATGTTGGCAAACGCTACTAATATGAATGGAAATTGATTGAGTCCGTGTGGTAAGTAAATATTAAAAACTGAGAATAGAGATGTAGGAGAATGATAGTGGTTTTAATTTGATAACAAGAAAAGAATGTTCCAAGGAATCAAAAGCTGGAGAAAAGTAAAGGAGTATCATAATAATTATGTTTTTTTTTTTCATCCATAGGAGTATGACGTCTGTAATTTTGAGTAGACCACTTGAAAAGCCTAATCAAAAACGGACTGTAGGGTATCTAGAATTTTTTATTCTTCGAATAAATAGATATTTGAGATTGGACCATTCTTTCCAGGGGTTCAAAAAAGTCAGAGGATAAAGATAAAGCATTAGTGGCCATGAGATGTTGGGTTGATTTTTTTTTTTTATTATTTAATAGATTGTGGTTAAGATTTTTTCCAGGAACTAGGAAATATTGAGTTTTAGCGACGAAAATTATAGATGAAAAGAAAGACCTGAGTGAGATTTCAGAGGTGATATATTTTTAACAATTTGACGAGTATCATATCAAACCCATTAGGGTTAGTTTGTGATTTCATTAGGGAGGAAATAATGTCAGTAGGAGAGATATAGGAAAAATAAAAATGCTCAGTTAAATGATGGAGTTAAGAAAAACTGGAAAGAGAAGGGTGGAGTGATATTGGAGGATGAAGATATAAAGTAAGTGTTTGATTCATCGGGTGAAACGGGGAAGACTTGTGAGGAAGTGGATTTGTGAAGAAGTAGCCATTTTGATTTGGAATCAAGAGCAGAAGAAAGGGCTTCGTGAAAGTTGTATTTTGTTCGCCTAATTGTGGTTCGCATCAAGTTGTAGAGTATTCTAAACGCAGATGGTAATTTGCTTGTCTTGTTCGTCTAAACCGTCTACAGACTGTCTCACTCGTTTTTTTGCATATCTATGATTTCTTGACACAACTATGGAACTTGCCTGCGACGGAAGGTAGAGACTTTAAAAGTGTCTGGTAAGACAACTGAGTGAGTATGTCTACCATACGATCAATAGTAGGGCAAGAATAGATTTCACTCCAATCCAGGGCTTGAAAGTCAGGTAAGATGTGCCACCTAGTTATATGTACTCAGAAGAACATATCAAACGATACGAAATTACATCTATATAGATGTATATATATAAGTGTATACGTTAAGACCTATCAAGAAGAACGTTGTATTAATGTTGATGAAAATTATAGGATATCATTTTTTTTTAACTCTCTTTTTTTTTATTTAGCATTATAAAAGATTTCCAGTTGAGCACAATACCTTCTTTGTTTCCATTTGTTTGTCTTAACTGTTATTTGTACGGTTTTATGGGAACAACCTGACCTAACTTTAGTTCTTTTTACGACTGGTATCGACTTTCCATTATAAGACCGGTAGCAATCGACTGCTTTGTTTCTTAAACGTTGCATCGTGGTGATCTTAATTGGAACTAGCTTTGGTAAGTGCTTTTAATTTATAAAGGTAAACGATTTAAAAACTATTAATTGTTTTTTTTTCCTGGAATGAGGGGAATAAAGAGAAGTACTTATTGATTTTAAATCGTAAATAAATTGAGAACTAACGGGTGATGTGTCAGTGCGGAGACAGCACATAACACATTATTTATCGGGCGCGTGGTAGCCGATCAGGCCTAACGCGTCAGCAAAACATGCTTAACCGGCAACCTGGTTAACCGAAGTTTATATGATAAAATAATTACGAGTTTGTGTCTCAGTGCCGTGGAAGGGTGCTTTTAACTCTGACATTAATACCCCGTTATATAAAAAAGGTATACAAAAAAACATTCATAATTTATCTTTAAAATTGTATGTTGTGTAGTATTTATCAATAACCAATTCATTAAAGAAACATTTAAAAATCATAAATCATTGATAAATCTTTTAACAGTTATTAAAACCATAAAAATTGTCTCTTTTTAAACTTAAATAGCAATATGAGTTTTTCCAAATTTAAATAATACCCAAATGTTTCAGCTATTTTAAATATACATTGTTTATTTGATTGCCCAATATTTTTCGTTAAAAAATGGAAAGTAAACTACTTCATAGTCCAAACTGCACAGCGATCCAGGAATGAATTATAATTCCTTCAATAAGCTAAGCTTTCGTTACATCATGTTGATTGATTACATATGAAAACTCTTTAATCGTGCCGAATCCCTTTCAAAAACATTTCTTCTTTCTTCTTTTTTTATAGCGGTTATAAACATGGAGAGGAGAAATTCCTGAGTAAAAATTTAACAACCGAGTTAAAATGATTAATAACCTTTCCTGATAAAGAGAGATTCACTAAAAATAGCTCTGGATCGGCAATGTGTTAAGAAATCCAATTTTATGGCAAACATTAGCTGCCTCCTGGAATTTTCAGTGTTATTTTGGTTTCAAAATTAATGAGGTTAATTGGATTAATTATACCCCCCCCCCATAGGCTTTAATTTAACTTAAAATATTATATATAAATATAATATTACAAACATCTCTCCATTTGAGGATTATCATACCATAATACTTGGCCTTAAGTATAATATTTTAAAATAATTATGTATATATATATATATATATATATATTTATCCACATATAAAAGTAGTTGGTTTAGGATAAGGTGAAGCCATTCACGAAGTTTTAGATGGTTATTAATAATTTGATAAAAAGTGTAAATAAATTGATTAAATATTAATAAATTTTGATAAGAAACGTAAATTAACATAATTTAATAATAAATTCATGACTTAGTAATCGCGAAACTTCGACAAAAAGGAGAAAAGAAAACCGTTTCGGTTTCGAGAATTTTAATTTGGAAAAATTAAAAAATCCATTAATTAGAACTCAATTTGAGCTAGATGTTAATAATAGGTTTGAAGCTTTCGAACCTTCTGATGAGAACCGCGAGGATATCGTCAAGTTATGGGTAGAGATCAGGGATAATATTATAACGGATATTATTAAAGCCCCTCTGGAATTAGAGAAGAAAATAACAATATTCTGACCGATCCGGTAAGAACCATTTTAACAATATTTTAAACACGGGAAATTATAATCTGTGTCCTCCTCAGTACCAGAGTGCTGAACCGTTAATAGAAGAAGCGAGTCAAGAGGAAGTTGAAGTAGCTTTCGGAAAATTAAAATCTTATAAAGCAGCGGGAACCGATAATATTTCTAGTGAACTAGTTAAGGCATGCGGAGAAGCTGGAGTTTCAAAAATATATTTGTTTTGTATAAAAAATAAGTTCAAAGCAAAAGGACTCAATGAAAAACTATAAAACTATCAACTCAACTGAATTCAATGAAAATCCTGAGTTTACGAAAAATTTATAAGTTTACGAAATGGTAATAATTACAAATAATTTCGAAAGTTAGATATTTAAAATTGAAAAAATATCTAACTTTCTAAATTATTTGAAATGACAAAAAAAAAAACTTTCTAGTTATTTAGCCGTTCGCTCTATTTCCATTACTTCCTATGCCAATCATACTTCGCACGAGATGATTTTGCTGTTATTAAGGTAAACTACTTCACGTGACTCTATTCTGAAGTCTAATAATATAATTGGAACAAAAAATTACTTTTCGACGGTATCTAATTTGCAAAACAGGTGTTTGTATATGGCCACTTAAGTGAAAACGTATATTATCATTGATCCGAATTGGAATAGGTTAGTGCCTAAGGGGATTCCTTAACTTTCCACGCTAATTTCGGTAGAGTTAGTTCAAAATACGCTATGTACTTTTTGAGTAATATTTATTTTTTAAATCATTTTGAACTATAAACGTAAACCTGACAGGCAAAAAATTCCACCCACTTGTTACCCATTAAGGAACTACGTAGGAAAGGTTGGCTCTGGGATAAATTACAGGCTGCATATCTTTCGTTTCTTCTTCTTCATACCCTATCACGCCCGTCTGGAGATCGAAGAGCGAATCTAGACCCACCTGTAAAAAGTACAGCACTCCATTCGTCCATAATCCAATGGCTGTGTTCTCGAGCAAAAGCCAGCCGTGTTACTCTGTGAGTTCTGGTCAACTCTGGTCCTCTTACTAGACAAAAAGCCATTAATCCATACTCATTTAATCTTCTCCGAGCAGTACTTTTAGAAATTTGCACACCTCGAACTTCTTCGAGCTGATGGATCGCTTGAACAACGGTAAGGTGCCGGTTTCGTAAAATTCTCAGTCAAAAACCGGTCATCCCGTGGTTCTGTTACCCTAGGCCGTCCACAACCGGGTCTTCTATTGTAAGAACCAGTTCCCGAAAACGCCTAACGGCGTCTCTTAAAGTTTTATATGGAACTCCGATGGCATTAGCTGCATATCTGATGGAACGTCCATCATCAATAAGCGCCACACCACGTGCAACATCCTCAGCATTAAGAGGCATTTTTAAACTTAATATTGAAAAAATTAAAAGCCGGAGACTAAGAAATGTGCTGCAAGAAACGGCACTGAACTAATGATACTGAATAAACATTTGGATTCCATAGAAAGTAAACATTGGAATCTAGAATCATTTCATTGGATTAAGGGTTATTGTCCTCTATATTGACATTCCTAATTGAAAACAAACAAAAAGATTACCTATTTATTCATTAAAACAATAAACCAATCCAAAGCAGGAATATTTTTAGATGAAAACATGAAAAAATCAAGTGGGTGGAATTTTTTGCCTGTCAGTGTATATACCATTCGTAAGGATCTTAATGTTCAGTCAATAAATATAAAACTATTTTGGCGACGTTTCTAAACTTCATCGTTCTACGCAATATCATGCCCTAGAACCTAACCTATACCTCATGCAATAAAAACGAAAAGGTAAATTAAAAATAGCAGCATTTTGACAATAAAGGTATACTTTTATATGCTCCCTAAAAACGTACTGCTGTTGAAAAAACTTGCTTATCACAGTTCGTAATTTCAAATCTGCTTCTTCTTTAAATTAGTATTTAATCTAAAACTATAAAAAATCTATTTATAATAGAATATCAGACGTCTGCGATTTTAATTAATTAATTAATTACCAGTCAGCCCTTTATTTATTTATTTAGATTGAGAGGCAACAGTGATGAAAGGGTTAAAAATGTTAATAGCGGTAATCGAACAATCTTTCTTTTCTTCTAAAGATATAACTATATATATATATATATATATATATATATATATATATATATATATATATATATATAGATAGATAGATAGATAGATAGATATAGTTAAAGATATATACACATAAATTGTATGTTTACATCGTTTCGTTGTGCTCTACCAACTTAATGGGCCGCCATTTTGACAGTTCGTATATCCAGTCTAATATGCAATTACAAATATTAGGAATGTCCTCAGAGACAGGAACTGATGTCAAACAAATTACGGCTAAGTGCTGTTGTATTAATCTTCCCTACTTACGTTGTTATAAATAATTGTCCAGGTTATTTCGATTCACGCAACATCCTCACCGAGCACTCCAACTTCATTAGGATGTGGTTGACAATGGTGCTTGTTGAGATTTTTTTCAAATTCAGAGGTCAACTAGAAATATTTTTTATTTTTATTTTTGTGGTCATATTTCAGAAGACTATATTCACATAGTAGTATGAAATTATTATGAATGTTTCAACATTAACCAACTTATATTTCTTTATTTTTTAATTGTGACTCTTAATTAATATCACCTCAAATTCTTATTAGTAATATCAATAAAAACAAAAACAACAAATAATTTCATTTATTAAAAACTTTATTGAATTCGTTAAAAAAAAACGTATTTATTGTCTGGAAATCGATTGCTTCATTTAATTATTTTTATTAGAAAAACTTAAATAAATTGTGGGGGCGGAGTGTTATTAAATTCTACTGCCATCCAATAATAAGTAACTATGCAGTATGTTTTATCAGTGTTGGAACCATTAGTACAAATAAAGTCATGATCTCTTAAACGCAGACCAAAGACATAAAAGTGTTATTTTAATAAATCAGAAATATCCAATTCATAATAGAGGTTATATTAAAAAATAACAAGGGAGAGAAAGATAAACAATTCACATAGAATTAGTAGTTCGAATTTTTTAGTTCAGTTCCTTCCAGATTTTTTTTAATTTATGATATTTACAACCGTATTAATATAAATACATCAAGTAAATGTGTACACAGAAATATAATTACATGAAAACGCTTGTTGAGAAACTCAATAATATGTCTACAAAAGAAGATCACGCGGCCATCTTATTTTCAGACGCCTCGGAGGATTATCAGGAATTGAAGAAGAAGCGAGGTAAGAAACAAGAGGATTCGGATGGTTATGAAGTTTATTATGGAAGGATAGGTATCTGGATTGGGCCAAATCGGAAACATATGGAACATTAAGGTCTATATGGATTATTTTATTTGTAAGGAGCATTAAGGATTTTACGAAGGATTCTGGATTATAGGGATTGGATACGAAAGTAATTCGATGGTTTAGTGGAGCTCCATAGCTCAACTCCAGATTTTTAAAAATCCGGACATATTGTCTTATGTAAACATCCCCCTCTCCTCAATAATTTGAAGTAAGAATAAAATAAAATTAATAACCAATGAGCTACATGAGTTAATAAAACATATAAACCAAAATTGATAAATAAAATAATAAAAGTCGACTGGTTTGCTTGGCTGAAGCTTAAAAGTAGAGACGTGATTTTATCACCACCGTAAGTTTTATTATCACATAAATATTAATACTATTTAAATTTTCGTTTATATTCAATGATAGTAATATTTCGTAGGATTTTGTGATTTATACACCCCTCCATTTTCATTTGTTATTCACATCACATTTTCTATAGCAAAGTTGAAACAAATGATGAAGGATGTCTCCCTCTACCCATATTTAATGTATAGAAATATTTAATGAACAAATATTGTTCTTATAATTTCAAGTATATCCGTAAGCATAAAACCCTACATATAAATTTATTTTCAAATATTCAGTATTATGTTTTATTTATTTATTTACATCCTTACTATGCCTGATAGACAATACGAGTTTTAGCAGAAGTGAAACGTTACATATCCCTGCGTAAATTTCTGTGTAAAGAACTTTGCTTGGAGGTACCCATGTCCAGTGAGTAGTTGGGACACCCAGTAATCTGATTCTACCCATTTTGCTCCTAAACGGGAACGAAAGATGGAAAAATATTTTCTCAAAGCACTTCTTTTCGTGTTTGTCACCCATCGCCATTCGTCAAGGAAGTACTCTCGTATTATCTTTTTCCATCTGCCAGGTTCTTGATAAATCGTCACACGGAGATTCTCTGGTAGGTCTGCCGAACCTCTTCTTAACATCTGATGCTTCAACATGTCTTCTTGCAGCAGGAGATCGAGAGGTACACCATCAGCCAGGAACTGTGCTGCCTCATGAGACACCGTCCTATAAACCCAGGGGACTCGCAGCAGAGCTGAATCGACGCCTATCAGCTCTTCTGGTGTTGCGAGAAATTCAGATTACAGCCAGGTTCGCTTATCTCAGAATATTATATAATATTTGTTCTTTTCACAATCAATATGTTGAATTTTTACATATAATATAAACTCTCGCCACTTTTATTTTAGTCCATCTTCTCCACAATTAAATGGAAAGTCTACACCTTTGCGGACTTATGGTTTGTAATGGCTTATTTGAATCATTAAAAGAAACAGTATCTAACTGTTTCTATTTTTCTATTCAGAAACTGATTTCAACGAAATTCATACCGTGAATTAATTGTAATTTTGTCACAAAAATAACAAACGAATATGATATCGTAATGGTTAACCTTTGTAATAAATTAGAATTTGACCAAACTGAATTTAAGCACACTTATAATTTAGTTTAATGTAATCGGACGTTTCAGCCCACTTTGCAAGCCATCTCACGGCTGCTAAACAATAAACACTTTGAAAATAAAAATATACAATTCTGTTTCTATTCTAAGAAAACTTCTAGATTGTAAAAAAGAAAATTCAAAGTTTGAATTACTAAAATGATATCAGTATATAATTTATTATTCTTATAATGCAATTTGAATTATAATAATTAATATAATGTTTATACTTACATAAGTCAAGGAGATTCTTCATCATGATATTCGTCGTGTTTTTGGTTCGGACCGCTCCGGATTCTAAGCAGGCGAACCCAGCTTGCATAACTAAAAAAAAAAAAAAAAAAAAAAAAAAAAAAAAAAATGAAAAATAACATTGTTGTATTATAGCTTTTATTTCAAATCAAGCTGTCCACGAACATAAAAAATATAATAAATTAAATTAACAAAATAGATCCTTAGTTCGATATCTAGTTAAGCATTGAATCCAGCCTTTATAAAGTGGCTAATTGGCCCTTCATTAGATGGGAAATTAAACCTGATGGTTCAGTAAGGATGATGACCATATAACCTGTTGGTATAAATGGTTATAATGGGACAGTTTTATTTATTTTTATATGTAGGAACCTTATAAAACTGATTTTTTAATAAAAATAAAAGACTATACAACATTAATTTTGCTCAATTATTCTTAATCGAGAATAACTTGACTTGCTTAGCTGGAGGACCGATCAGGAGGTCAATCGATAACGGATAAATCGAATAACTGTCGCATCATTGTTTTCCAACAATGGCAGTTATGACAGCCTGCCTAATCCTGATAATGCTTAAAACCAAATCTGGGATACATTTTTGAAAATGTTATTAAAATCATTATTCAATTTATGTAAATGATTAAAATTATATTTGACATTCTTCATCATGATATTATATATTTTCAATTCCAAATACAATTAATGGATGTATTTTAATGATAAGATATAAGGGAGGCAGCGTTGCATCCTTCTATCGATCAGGTATTATGATCTTCCCTACATATTTTCATTCGTTCCCTCTTAGCATAAGATTTTCGCTTAGCAGAAAGTATTCAATCTGTTATTTTTGGCGAAACAGTCACAAACAGCAATATTGAGTTACTGTGAATGTGGTTTCACGTTCCAAAAATGAGCTGTTATCGAATAAATGAAATCCTATCATAAAGCCTATATGAACTAATGGCTAATAATTAAACACCGCTATAGTTCTTCCAGATATTTAATTACCTTCCAAATTTTGATTTATTTAAATTTTTTATATGCGTTTAACATGCAAGCTACACAATAGAAATGAAAGAGCTCTAAAAATTTCAAATAAATATGTTAATTACTTTTAAAAATCTCTACCATGATACAATGAAAAGAACTTATACAACTAATAAACATGAAAATTCCTTTTTATTATTAATGTTATTTTTAAAAATATAGAATGTCCAATCTGCTTGACAACAAACGTGAGCCTGTATTTGTTGAATTTATGTATAACCAAAAAATACATTATACCGGTAAATTTACTCTTAAAATAAATCCTAAAAAGTTATTCGTGAATACGTTTTACTTTTATGGATACGTCGACATTCAGAAGAAAATAACCGTAAAAGTTTCACTATCTTACTAATACTTTAGAAATACATTCGAAGAATTACGTTTTAATTTCGTAACTGGTTTCTAAAGAGAACGAATAGTAAATACCGTAATTAGCTGTTTCAATTTAAAACAGTTTCACATTTAAATGACGGCACGCGAACCTTTTTAGTAATTTTATTTTTAATAATCTGAATTTCACAAAAAACATAAACAAGAATTTTATAGTCAAACATATATGCTATGATTCATACTACGAACTTTGAATTTTATAGTTTTATAAAAGGAATAATTTTTTTAATGTATTAATTGTGTTATTTTCATTTTGGTTTATTATTTTCAATAATAATAACGACCAAAAAATTTAAAAACTTATCCTCTCCCCTCAAAATTCGAGTTTTTACGTTTCTGGATACGTAGAATCCTGTACGTACGTACGTAGGAATACGTAGAAAATCTAATACCATTTTTTTTTGTCCGTCATCCGTCCGCGCATTTTCTCCGAAACCACAGGAACGATTTTTTTTCAAATTTGGATTTAAAGTCAGAGGTCACCCGAGGATGATCCTCTACCTCGACATTACTATCCATCTTTTCCTTTCAAGATGACTACCGAAAAACCTAAACGAATGTAACGATTTCAATGAAACTTGGGTCAAGTCTTCTTCTCGATGCCCTTTAAATTTTTTTATACAATATAGTTCAACGAAAAGTAGGTGGAAAAAAAAGTTACGAAGCGTGGTAAAATTAGATTTCCGCATAAATAAAAAGTATATACTTTTTTTCTGGATATTGTATTATCTATTATTATTGTATGCATACTAAAAATCAGACAATTTGGAGCAATGATATGATTTCTAGACATTTTTATATGTTCCACTACAAAGGTATTTTTTTTTTTTTTTTTTTTTAGCGAATTGCTAATGATGGAATAAAAAATGTTTAGGCCAATAATATACATTACCTTTTATTTCTTTTCCTTTGTTATTAGAAAGGTAATGTTACTTTAGATGTATAATTGTTTGGAAATCATAATCCAATGTGAAATAATTTGCAGAATTTTTATATAATTAATTTTAGAAATAGTGTACTTGCATGTAAATACATGTTAAGTGTTAACGTACAGAACATATGATAATTTTGATAAACATTTTTAATAGTCAAGAAATTTAGTTTTGATAGCTCACTCACTCTTTCTAATTTATTTCATGTTAAAATTATTTCAAAGTGAGCTTTGGATATGACATGTTTACGAATGAATATATTTTCTTCTTCCTCTTTGGCAGCATTTAATGAAAAAGAAACCTTAATAGGAACCGAAGAAAAGGAGAAAAACAAAACTAATTTCCTCTACAAATCTTCTCTAAAGCGTTGGACAATAACTCAGTTATCCTCAACTAATAATTTTACTTAGCTATTTAAGTATAATCTAAAAATAATAATTCTTTATGGAAACTGATTATTATTGGATTATAACAATTATTGGAAACTGATTCCAACGAAATTTGTACCGTAAATTTATAGTAATTTTGTTATAAAAATAATAAAGAAATGTGATATCGTAATGGTTTAATATTTATAATAAATTAGGATTTGACGAAACGAAATTTATGCACACTTATAATTTAGTTTAATGTAATCGGACGTTTCAGCCCACTTTGTGAGCCATCTCACGGCTACTAAACAATAAACACTTTGAAAATAATAATATACAAAAAAAAATTAACATGATAGAATAATAAACACGCAATTAAGGGGGTATGCAAAATTAACGAAATAAAAATCACTTAATTCCTTGTTCAATTAACGGAATAAATACATCATTTATTTATTATTTGGATGAATATTAAAGATTTAATGAGGCACAAAACTAAATATTTTAAAATTAAAAAAAATATAATATATAATTTATATATATATATATATATAATACTATATATCTATAACTGCAAATTATTTCACAATGGTTTATTATCTCCAAACAATTATACATCTAAAGTAACATTACCTTCCGAGTTACAAAGAAAAAAAAACAAAAGGTGATTCCAATTATTGGACTAAACTGTTTTTCTTTAATCATTAGTAATATGCTAAAAAAAAATAGCATTAGTTCAGTAACACATTTAAAATTTAAAAACCAAACCAAGGATATAACATTTGGAGTAGAACACATAAAAAAAACCGGAGACCATATCTTTGCTCCTAATTGTCCGATTTTAACGATTTTTTTTTTTTTTTAGGAAATTTCGTAAACTTTTAAAAAACCTATACAATATCAACAAAAAAGTAAAACTTTTCGAGTTATTCGGAATTTAATTTTACCATCCCTCGTAACTTTTTTTCCAGCTTCTTTTCGTTGAAGTATGTTATATAGATAAATTTAAAGGGCGTCGAGAAAATGACTTTAGCGAAGTTTCATTGAAATCTGTACATTCGTTTAGGAGCTACAGTCTATAGCAACGCAGGTTTTTCGGCCGCCATTTTGAAAGTTAAAGGCGGAGAGTAATGTCGATGAAGGAGGATCATCCTCGGGTGACCTCTGATTTTATATCAAAATTTGAAAAAAATCGGTCCAGTAGTTTCGGAGAAAATGCGCGGACGGCGGACGGACAAAAAATTTTTATTCGTTTTTCGAATTCTACGCGTCTTGAAACGTGAAACCTCAAATTTTGAGAGGGGGTTATGTTTTTGAATTTTTTGGTCGATCACAATGTTTCATTATTGAAAATAATTAACCAAAAATACGCAACCCATCTATGTTCCATCTTATTTTAATTGTTCTTTACAACTACTTATTATAATGGTTTAGTTGGTTTGAATTTTTTAAGTTTTTATAGATGCTATACAAACATATATAAAGTATTACATTTATTGACAAAAACAGGTACTGATACTAACGAAAGATCTTCAGAATAATTTCTAAAATTATTAACGAATATAAGAACATATTACAATTTCAAGTGGTCTGAATATTATCGTAGCATGCCATTTATTAATTGTTTTAATATTAAAAATGAATGAATTAGCAACAGTTTAATGTACATCCAATATCGGGTAAACCAAGCTTATCAATATAGACGTCCATTCAGCTGAAGATTTATTATTGATCAAGAATAAAAAGTTGATTGTTGGTTAAGAATAATATTTTCCGGAGTTTTTATTTTTTATTATTTTACACAGGAACGTAGTAAAAGAACTTTTGAAATACTAGATTTTCCTAACTGTTAATTTTTTTTTTATTACAGGTGATGTATAAATTGTGTATTTATTTAACAAATTAATTTTTCTCAACCGATAAATGATCCAACGCATTTGGGCTGGATTCCCGATGTCTTAGATTCATTTATTAAGAAAAAATTAAAATTACATTCCTATTAAATAACTGACCTATCAATCAATTCTAATAATGGGTCAAACAAGCTACGATAATTAACTCATATAAATCTGAAATGATTGTTTGAAAAATGTTATTAGATTTATTTTATTTTTATATTTTATTTCTTACCAAAGCTAATACACTGTTCTTCAGAAATAGTTGGAGTTATGAAATGAATCATGCTTACAAAACTCATCAAAAAGTTAATAAAATGTAAAACTCATTATAATTCACACAAGCAGGAATATTTCAGCGAAACGTCTGTGTCTACGTAAATTCAATGCATTTATAATATCAATGGAGTCTGAAGTGTAGTTAGTGAGATGATAATT